AGCTTCAATTTTTTTTTTTTTTTTTTTTAAACAAGCTAATATTCATTTTTTACCTAATAACAAAAAATAAGCGCAATCATTTCAAAAAGAAATAATAAAACAAATCGAATTAATCAATTGTTTATGAGGAATAAAAATCCATATAAAGAAATATCTTTATATTTGTTCAGATAAATAAGCAGAAAAATAAAGATACCTAAATTCCTTCACTAAATTCCTAAAGAATATGAAAATGGAAATAATTCTGATTATTTAACAAACGAGTGGGCCGTAAAACAACTGCAACAATATCTTCGAGTAGATTAATTTCATTTCAAACTCATTCGTCTTAGCTCATTTGTCTCATTAACTAATATAACAAAACCAGCTTCACGAAAGACTATGATTTCAAAAATGATTCCTAATATGTCAATTAGGATCAGCAGGACTACCTAATTACAAAGTGGTGTTAGGAACACTAACGATGGAATAGTAATGTTCAGTTTATTGGAATTTGAAAATGTTTTAAATTGTTGGGAATCACCGTAACTTTCATTTTGTTCTTATGGCAATTATGCAAGTTTTCTCAAATTGATGTTTTCAATTATCACTTGATTATCGACCGAAGGGTTTACTAGCGCTTCCACCAAATAATGTGCCACTAACTGATGAGTTCAATGTATTTCCAAAAGTAAAAGATGTTGTTGTTGCTGGTGCAGGTGCTGGCTCCGCTATTGATGTCGCTAAGGTACCTGAAAAATATGAAAATGTACATTACCATTTGATAATGTCAACATTATCTTAGCTTTCAAGAAAAGGCCAGTGCTAATGGAAATTTCTCAGACATGAAAAGACAAAAAAATTTTTAGACACAAATCAATCGAATGAAGAAGAATGAATAAGACTGTGGGGGAAAAAATGCACAAAAAAACAGGATGAGTAAAGAATAAAGAAACAATAAATTTACTATTAGATCACTGCTGAGAACGTTTGGCGCTTCCGCTGGTTACGTCTGCGCTCACCAAGCTTTTTTCTTGATTCTCTTTTTTTCTTAATATTTCGAATTTAAAAAAAAGATATAAGTGCCGGAAAATGACCCTTTGGTACAATTATTCCTGGCTAATTTTATACAAATTACGATCGACAAACAGCCGAACAATAAAAATTTCATACCGAAAAGTGGAGCTGGTGCTGAATTAGTACTGGAGAAAGGTTTGAATAACGGTGTAGTTGTATTTGTCACTGATGGATTAAAAGAGAAGGCAGGAGTACCGAAAGTTTTCGAGCCAAACAATGAACCGGACGTGCCAAATCCGCTTACTGCTGCTGCTATAACATCAAAATTTCAATTTGCTAAGTACTTGATATGAAATTTGGAATCTGAATTATGATAATAAAAAAAAATCGTAAAGCACATAAAGAAAAATAAATTTACTCGTTTGTTGAGCTGTTGAAGAAGGTTTTGCCATTTCACCAATTTTCATCATTGTAATTTGTGAAGGGAATGCATCTGCGCCTTCAAACAGTTAAATTCATCATATATAATTAATGGAAACTTTTCTCACAAAACAATCATTTGTGCTTAAAATTAAAATATTCCGGAATGATAAAATGAAAAGCATAAGAGCAAAACCTTGTGCAGTACTGTATCGATTTCCTCTAAGAGAACTTATGTAGTCTTCTAATGTCTTAGATTTTCAAGATACAAAACTGAAGTTAAAAAATCTTTCACCTGTGAATCTCTTTTCTCCAATTGGTTTTTCAGTATGCTTTGATTTCCGTCGTTCAAATGGATTCGGTGCATATGGAACATTACGCTTTTGATACTCCAAAAATGCATCTTTCAGATCCTACAGAAATGTGCAAATAATATTTAAAAAATGGACGTACGCAAATAAATGTGTAAATAATGCTTAAAAAATGAACAAACAAATTTCGAGGCAAAAAACTGCCAATAATAAATATCAAAAAAATATTCGATGACGAATGATATAATAATAAAAGATCTAACTGAAATAAAAACATACTTCGATTTGCATTTTACACCGATATACGTCAGAACAGATAACTTTGAATGTTTGGTCGTAATGTTCGAAATGTTTCTGTAGGTCCTGCTTTGTGGTTATGTCCTTCTAAAGAAATTTCAATGCTTTTAACAATAGAAATAAAAAAATCAAATCTGCAAAAATGAATTCTAAAAAAAATTTATAATGAGAACCATTTTTCAAAAATACTTTTATTATAAAGAATATTTTTAACCCCATTCTAGTATATTTTTTTTAAGGAATAAATTTATAGGATCATACTGGAATAAGAAAACTTCATTAATTAAATTAGAATATAAAACTACTAACTAAAATTAAATGACGGAGATAACGTTCTGTCTTTATTTTTTTAATTTCATATACAACCTTCAAAAGAGATTTTTTTTTTGAAATTTCTGAATATAGTTCCAAATTTAGATAAAAACGTACATAGAAAGTGTAGCTTTGAAGCAGAACTAACTTTATTTAATTTTGCATCTATTCTTTCCTGAAGTACTTGCAATGTTTCCCAAAATTCTTGCACGGTATTTTCGTGTTCAATACAAACTGCTAATAAATAAGAGAAAGCTTGTTTTCGGCCGAAATGTGGATTTTTTGAAATTTCTTTCTGCCGTCGACGTACTTGCTCTGCTGCTCGTAAATCTCGCTGCATTTTCTCAAGTAATTCTAAAGTTTTGTCAGCAATTATAAATGGTTTCTTGATGTCTAAATTATTAGCCAACAAATACAAAAAGATGAAGTCATTCAATCAGCTCAATTCAGCGATGTTTTTTTTTTTGCCACGTCTATTTGTTAGTAAAATCTAAGTCTTGAATACGATTTTAGCCAAGAAATAAACGTATAAAAATCTCATAAAGATTGATATTAGATGAAAATAAAAATTAAATGAAAAGTAACCTTCCGCTCTGCCCTTTGCTCTACGTACAATGTCGACGTTCTTCACACGTGTCCCAACCAATTCTTCTAATTTTTCATCCATATGTAAACATGATTCTGAGCTATTCATTGCAAATTCAACACTTAATTCGTGGTTTTTCTTAATTTGATCCCTAAAATATCACAATAATAAGTGTAAATACCATCAAAATCAAATAATGATTAATTTATCGCAACAAATTCAAGAGATCCATACCGCAACAAATTAAAGAGATCCATAACCACTTGTTGTACTTCAGCTTCCAGTGGATTTCCAGACGCCGCAGCACCGGCAACACCCAAACTACTGGATGTGAAACCGGTAGCCGCAAGCGTACCCGTTCCTCCCAATCCTATTCCAGTTGTAGTCGTCGGTGTTCCACTTGTGCCAAAAAGTCCACCAGTTAAAGCAGTTGTAACAGGTGCTGGACTACTGAATAAGCCTGAATTATAAAGCAATAAAAAGGAAACTTCACTTTCATAGCCAGTCATAATTTAGTATTCAGAATAAAGTACAAAACTTAATCTCATAAATTAACATTATACATACCTGTTGTTGGCTTTCCAAAAAGACTTCCAGTAACGGTTGTAGCAGGTGTACCACCAAATAAAGTTGGTGTTGTAGTGACTGATGCACTTCCAAAAGGTCCGCAAACCGATGAAGTTGTAGCTACTCCAGCAGTTCCTATTAAACCACCTTAAAACAACAGTTCTGTAAATAAACAAATCTTAACTAATCATTTTAATGTTTTACACAACTTTCCTGTAACGGTTGTAGTTTTTGCAGGTGTTCCAAATAATCCACCAGATGGCACCGTTGAGCCAATTGATCCTGCAAAATAACAACATAAACAAAGACAACTTCGCCGATTTAAAATGATTAAACTACAACCAAATGTTTTTAAACTTCACCTGCTGGTGCTGTGGAAGCTGCAGGTGCAGATATAGATGATCCAAAAAGACCAGCGCCTGGAAAAAATAACCGGATAAACAAAAATGAATGAAAAGATGAAGATTGAAATTTTAGGGACTTGAAAGTTTTGCGAGAACTTTTCAGACTGTAAATCCATTTGAATCGAGATTCTTGACTAAGGCATAGCCAGATTACGAAATATATACCTCCACTTTGCACGGTAGCTGGTGAAGTACCAAACAATGGCTTGGGCGCAGCTCCAAACAAACCACCTGTAGCAGGTGTTGTGGAAGTTCCCTGTGCGCCGAAAGTGAAACCGGACATAATATCCCTTAAATGATAAGTTAAATTTCGTGACCTCCGAAAAAATATAATAGAAGTAACTCTGTACATAAATAGAAATAACCCTGAAGCAATAAGAATCATATAGTATCTGAATTTTCAATAATATCCATTTGGATCGTTTATCTATAGGCACTTATCAATTATAGCCACTTTTTCCATCCAAACTTTCTCAAATTTAAAGAAATCATCAGACTGCTATACAAGGTAATGTTTACTTAAGTTATACAAGGTTGGATGTAACAATTTAGCATGAAAATATCCAAGGAAACCTTCTAAATAGACTGCAGCCAATTACAGTATTGCTTCTTAAGCATTTTACAGAGAAAATAGTAACAACCAACAATGTGTAAGAATCTTTTTTATATTTGAAGATTTGCTAACACAGTAAGAAACAAACATTCATATCGTCTCAGAATTAAATCAAATCAAGTAAAACAAATACAAATAACAAAAAGCGAATAACAAACTTAGAATAAAACGAATAACAATTCTAGCAGAAAAAAAAAGTTTATGTATTTTATTTTTACTTCATTTAGCTCCATTTTTTTACAACATCTTTCTCAACATTGAATACGATCAAGAAGAACTTAAAAAATACAACCGTACATCAGCCGAAACTGGTAAATCGAAATACAATTTAAAACAAAAATTTAAGATGCCAACTAGAAAAATTTATTCAGAGATTACACTTAAAGTTATAACGCAACTATAACAAAAAGAGAAATCTGTCTTGAAAATTTACAAATTTGTAAAGTAAATGAGCAGCAATTTAAACATTAAAGATGAGCAATATGTAACAACCTCTAACAAATATTCCCTCCTTCACGTCTGATTTTTTCATGTTCCATTTTAAAACTTTCCTTACATCTTTCATTTAAACCTTCTTTGTTTCGTGCGATCTCCACAGCCAGGAAAATTATCTAAAAATATAAGAAATTAGTTTCAAAGCAAAAGTGAGTTTGAGAAAAATAGACATTCACTAAGCGTAAACTACTCATCTACTGACAAAACCACAATTACGTTGTTAGCTTTTCTGTAAGAATAAGAATACCAGCAGTATATTCCTTGTAAATTATTGCTGATTTTAATTAATAACAATGATGTCATACCGTTTACGCTAGACTTTCACGCATATGTCTTTTGTATGGCAAAAGATCTGTATGGCAGAAGATTAAATGAAATCAGATTACCTTAGGAACAATAATTGTATTTGATTCGCTGTAAGCACCATCGACTCTTATCCTCATGATTGTTGCAAGATTATAATCTTCTACTTCTTCTTTAAAATACTCGCAGAATGTAAACCACCGTTGCTTATTTTCACCCTTTAATTCTATTTCTGTTACCTGAAAATGGTCATATACTTTATTCATCAACAGAACATTAGAAATAAGATAATCCGTATAACATAATATTTTATTGATTCATGTGATTAGATCAGGATATTACCTTCTCAACATTCATCTCTGGAAAGAACTCTCGAAATTTGTCATAAATAATACTGCATTTTTTATGCATCGTTAACTCTGCGGTATTGCAAGTGAGCAACAAATTCATATGAACATTCGCTCTTTCAGCAGCCTGTAATGGATCACATTCAAGAGATTACCGAAATACTACTATTAGGAGTAAAAACTGGAAAAAAATGATAATAAAGACAACACCGGAAATTCAGCTATTTGTAAAACAAAGAAATGACACCTTAACTGCCCAAGCAATTTCGAATGAAGGATCATTGGTATATTCCTCAGCTCCATACGAAACTTCTTCCATTGTAACAGATGAAGGCTCATCTGATTTAGTCATTCTGCAAAATAACAGTTTTTCAGATACTTTTATCGTACGTAACTCCCCTAAAAAGCATCCACTTGCTAAGAACCAAAAAGATTCGCGCATGCCTACACTTTTTGTCAGTAGCTTCAAATCATTCAAACCTTCATCATTCCAGAAATATTACCAATCTCCATGGAATGCCCCCGTGAATACCAACAACAGATGCATCCAGAATACGAAAACAACCACACATCCTATATTTATGAAAACGTAAGAAACCATTAGCTGCAATCCAAAACACTGGAGAAGTTTTCTTCATGAACGTTATAAGTCTTCCATTTTTTGTTACGATAAAATTATTAGCGAAAAGACTTCTTGCATGCGTAACAAACACATTTTTAGAGATAGTTTATTGAATCAACAAAAAGATTCCTTCAATACAAACAATAAACAAACAATAGTCATCAGCTCTTCTTTTGGCTATCAAAGTACTCCTGAAGAAATGCTCGTGCGGCATCATCTTGGCCATAATCACGAACAACTACACACGAGCACCCCACTACCTAAAATATAAATTATCTATACGTTCACAGTGCAGATAGCTTTGCAAACCCATAGAAAAAGGAATACGATGACATCCACAGCAATACAACTTTATTTAGGGATTAAGAAATCCGTGTTAAATTTGAACCTTTCGAGCTTTTCCCTCTTTATCGTATTTGCATAGCCCAATCCATTCGCCCAGCTGTTTTTTGTCTTTAATTCTAATCAGAGGTATCTGATGTTCATTGCATAATGCTTCCACCAATTTTGCATACATTGGCTCGTCACAATTCTCAGCTAACACACAAAAATATGCCTGACGCCTGAAGCTTTTAATCAGTGATATTCAATTATATTGGTAAAATACTCAACAGTCTATGTTTTAGCACCACTCCAATTCATTACTGCTCACAGTTAGTGACTGAAACGGAAAACAAACAGAAAAAATTTAATGCGAAAGTTTAAAGTTATTTCAAAATCATACTTATCAAGAGCTTTAGCAGCTTCATGAAGACCTTTTGCTACTCCATCCATAACGATTGCTGATTTCAGAGCTCTTCGTAATGCAGTTTTAACATCTAATTTCTCGTCTGCTGCAGCTGCTGTTGTTTCGGCTGGTGGGACTTGCACTTGTGTCTCATCTCTGCAAAATCTATCATGAAAAGCAAGCAAGTTAATTTATGACTTTAATAGAGTTTTAAATTAGTTAAAAAAATTTTTTTATACAGCTTTAAATTTTGAATTTCTGGAAAAAATAAAACTGTACTGCAAATTACAAACCCTCCTGCTTCCATGTTCAGCAGTTGTCCTCGATGAGTACACCTCTATCAATTATCAACTAATCAAACCTAAAGAAATACTGAAATTATCATATCAATTATCAGCTAATCAACCTAAACAGCACTGAAATTATCATATCAATTATCAGCTAATCAACCTAAACAGCACTGAAATTATCATATCAATTATTAGCTAATCAACCTAAACAGCACTGAAATTATCATATCAGTTATCAGCTAATCAACCTAAACAGCACTGAAATTATCATATCAATTATCAGCTAATCAACCTAAACAGCACTGAAATTATCATATCAATTATCAGCTAATCAACCTAAACAGCACTGAAATTATCATATCAATTATCAGTTAATCAACCTAAATAGCACTGAAATTATCATATCAATTATCAGCTAATCAAATCACCACTGCCCACACATAAACAACCATCCATGTCCAAATTCTACCCAAAAGTCCAAAAGTGATATGCGTTACTGGCATAATGCCAACGTCAAAAACTTTCTCGTATTTTGTAGCTCTATAGTTTTTTAAAAATTCTCCTTAAGCGATACTAATAATATGTACGTATGCATGCTTCACGTGCGTGTGTTTGCGTGTATGTGTCCGTGTACTTGTTATGTTATAGTTTGATAATAATATGTATGGTAATATTAAATAAGACTGAAAATAACAGAAATTAACGTAATAATATGTAAGTATTTTGCAACTTGGCTTATTTGTATAGCAAATTATCCCATTGTTTCATGCTTTCAGTCTTTTGTATTTTAGAGAAAAGGAATAAACTTAGGATAGTATTAAATTTTATAGAAATTTTAAATTTTCACAGGAGCGGTTTTGTAGGGCAAATAAAAGAGCTTAAAAGGAGCTGTAATTGTTGACCTGAAAAAGAAATGCTTTTTGGATAAGTCAGAACCAAAATTGCAAGTTTTTTTAAGATAGCAGAAGAGATATTGTTTTCAATGTATCCAGTAGATTATTAAAGTTCTGATGTTTTATGGATTAGATTATATTTGTGTATTGAAAGAATTCAAGACTCTCGACAAACAGAACAGCCTCTCATCAGCAATTTACTTTAGGTTTTTGAACTCAACTACAATTTCCTTCGAGAATTGGAGAGTATGATTGAATTTATCATGAAATGGTAAATTTATTTTGATTTTGTTCATTATCTTCTTTTAAAAATCAGTACCACTTAGAGCTTTTAAAAAATTTGTAAAGACATTTTAAATTTGATCTGTTTTGTCATAATGTCACATAAATTCTTATATATTAGATAATTACAATTTTCTTTTTTTTTAAGTTTCATATTGTCATAATATTCAACGAGATCTTTAAGGTAAGTTATCGGTTAAAGAAATGAATTCTTATTAATAGAAAAAATGATTTCAAAAAGAAATTCTGACACAGTCAACCATTCTTTTTTTTTCTGAATTTTCATATGTGATTGAATTAATTCTTAACTTCAATCAGTAATGCGTTGTTCTCGTTTGAGGTAAAGATTTTTTATGCCATATCAATTTTTAAATATTACACTATAAAACGAAATGTTTCGAAGTTTGGAAAAAAAACTTCACACTGTTGTGAGATATTCAAAAGTTGATTTTATTTCATATTTCGATCCCATGGTTAATTTTTTAATTTTCAATATTGTAATCAATTTTTTTTTTTTTTTTTTGCAGTTTATGCAATCTCTAACTCTTATTATCTGTTGATCGTATAATGTTGCTACTTTGATACTATATTAAGTATATATTTATTTAATTTTCATTCATTCATTTAGCAAAATGCAAGAATGGCAACAATTAAAGCATGGAAGTATTACCAGAAGATTGCAAATATGCATAATAAGCTTTGAAGTATAAATGCTGCAAAATGCTGCGATAAAAAAAACAAATAATGGAAGCAAAATGATGAGATTCGGGTATGAAGTTTAAGAGACAATAACACAATACTGATTTCAAATTGATCAATGAAATGATAATTACTGCAATACATCTTAATTTAATCAACTGTTTTTATCTTTTTTTTTTTTTTTTTTTTGCTAAATTTTTTAGAAAAAAAAGCTACAAAAGTGAATTCTTCAATTTTCAAAGTGATTCATTAGAATATTGCATAACTGTATTAAACAGAAATGTAATTATAGGTCTGTAAAGTTGATAACAATATATAACTTAACCAAAGAATAATGAGAATCAAAGCACTGAGAATTTTTGGTCCTATTGGACCTCCAAGTTCTCCTTTTCCAAAAAATGCCAAAATTCGTCGAGCTATTAGCAATAGTATGCAAATTACAGATGTAGCCATGAATATTGCAACACTAAAATTATTATGATAGGAATAATATGAGCAAATTTAAATCTTATAAATTATGACAATAGGTTAAAGGTAATAATTCATACAATTTTTTTAATTTCTGAACTAAAAAGGTTATAGCGCACGTTAGTTTTTCTTTTTTTTTTTTTTTTTAATTTTATGAAATAAAGAGTATAGTTTAAGTTGTACTAATAAAACTATGCAAGAACCTGAAGCCTAAGTTGCCAGCATTAACAATAAATGGCTCATTTTTAGTGGACCAATATATAGCAGCAATAGTCCATGGTAAGCCAAGTCCAAGGAATACATTTACTGCATTAGAACCTGTTATATTACCGATAGCATTATCAGCTGTGGCATCCTAAATGCTTTTTAAAATTTCAACTGAAATAATGTAAGAAAAAAAAAAAGGGAAAAAAATACGTACATATTCAAGAGATTGACTTTTTGATAAATTAATCATTGAAAAAAAAATTTTTTTTCACAATTATGTACAAATAATTACATTTACTAGAAGGAATGTTAATTAAATTACTTTATCATAACAGTATGATGAAAAATTCGAAGGTATGTATTATATTGATAATAAGTTAATAGAAATATACTAAATGAACTGATTAAGTGAATTGTAAATGTTGTAAATGAAAATTTAAAAAGTAATTAAAACATACATTTTCAGCTGCAATTTTTGATGCAAATGTATCCGGTAAACTGGTACCTAATGCAACTAAAGTTATTGCTGTAATAGCATCTTTTAAACCAATCATACAACCAAGTATGCTTGCTAGATCACCTGAATTTATAATTTTACAAAATTGATTTCTTTCAAAAAGAAATTTTCTCAAAAAATTTCATCACTGTACAAAAGTAATAGTATTTAAGAATAAAAAAAAAAAAACGATTAACCTAAAATTTACAAAATAACTAGTGTAATTAACAAAAGAAAAAATCAAAAAGCAAAGTAATTAACAAAATTAACCTATGATAGCAGTGATAAAGCCAATTACAATTAGCGCACAAAAGAAGGATAACCATCCGCCGAGAATTGTGATTGGTGGTATTAACGCAGCTATAACTTTCCATGGAAATGATAAAATATGAAGGATACAATCAATCAATGTTGCATTCTCAATGTCACCAGCATTAACACTTGTCGCTTGAATAAGCTAAAAAATTAATTTCTCATTGAAATGAAAATTAGCATAATCGAATTGCATAAAATATAACAAATGAAGATTATATAATTTATTGAAAATAATTTTATGAAATAATCTTTGATAATTGATCTATTAAACTTTAATATTTAAATAATTGACATTTTAAATAATTGGTATAAGATTGACTATTAAACTTATATATTTAAATAATTGATATATG